GAGAGGAGGGAAAGTAAAGGAGAAAAGAGAAGAAATTTTCATCTAAGAACTAACAGAAAGGTTCCATCCTGGTCCCTGCCATCAGCTGAAAATTCCTTAAGTATAATTCTACACAAGACCCTCCTTGCTCATCAGTCCTCTATAGCTCCCCACTGTCTAATGGAGCAGACAATGCAGCCTGGCATTCACAGCCCTGCACAAGCTAGAACTAATGGAATCTTCCGGCCTCATCTCCTTCCCCTGCACACACCTAAACCCAAGCCGTTTCCAGGGACTCTGCTGAAGCTCATGGCTCCTTAGCACTGCCCTCGGTGAATCCGAGTCATGAAGCCATCCTCCAGGTCCTGACACAGTGGGATTTGAATCCTGGCCTCTCTGTGGACTGCCTGTCCCAAGAGTGAAGAAGGAGACACTTGGGGAGCCTTCGGGACAGTGCCCAGCACAGAGGCTTCTCAATTTCAACAGCAGTGCCACTGTGGGCTGGATCCTTTGGGGTGGGGCCATCCTGCTATTACAGGAAGTGGAGCAGCATCCCTGACCTCTCCTATCACCTGCTAGTAGCAACCCCAGTGTGACAACCATGTTTCTACACATTGCCAGATGTCCTCTGGGTAAGGCTGTCAGATCCAGCAATACATACTTATACTAAAAATTATTCATTATCTGAAATTCAATTTAATTTTGTGACCTACCTATATGTCATCTGGTAACCCTACCTGGGGGGTGGGGGGTAAAAATTAAGAACCTTCATTATGAACCACTGGGTTGAAGTGGAATCACCATGGCACCCCAGTAGTAACGTCAGTGGTTTCTCTCACTTTCCTCCTACCTTCTTAGACAGTCCAGCCCACCTCCCCCATCCTATGGCCTTCCAGGGCATCGGAGGATCAGCTCCCCAAACAAGCCCAGCTCAGCCCTTGTGTTGAAGGCTCCTCCTGTCTCCTTCCTGGGGTCTGCCCTCCGGCCAGCAAGCCCCTGCCTTCTCTCCTCCAATTAAGTGGCCTCCTAGTCCCAGCCTGGAGGCAGGAAAACAAGGCAGTTAGTCACTTCGCTTCCTTTATCAACTCTGAGTCACGTGGCTAGCGCCTTTAATGGCAGTCGTCATGGCAACGGGAAGCCAGTGCCTGCTCTCTCTGGAAACCAAAACAAAATTAAGTGGTGGAGGTGGGGAGAGAAAGGAGCCAGGATAGAGCCAGTTGGGTTTACTAGTAACTGGAGGAAATCATGCTGGGTCAACCCTGTCTGCAGCTTTCCCTTGGTGGCATCGGGGAGATGGAAAAATAAGATGCCTGCCCTGGTAAAGCGCAGGCTAATGTGGTGGGTGTTTTCACATTGTTTATCCTGATGGTTGAGTAATTTTCATCTCCAGTATGAATAAGCCGAAGCCCAGACACTTGTGAATGTAAAGAGGGATGCTCATCCAAGGCTGCGATTTACAAGCCATCAGTGTCAGCTTCTCCCTCTTCTTTCCATGTTCCCCAAGTCCTCCCCACTCCCTCCCTCTTGCTTTTAGGACAGGACCAAGTGCTCTGTCCACACTGTTCTCCTTTCTCTTGGAACTCCCCCAACTCAGAGTCCTCCCATTACCCATGTCCACAGTGCTCCCTCCAGCCGCAGATGCAGTTCCCTCTGCCAGGAATGGTCTTCTTCTGACTCGTCTCACTTCCTACCTTCACCTGAAAGGCTTGCTCATCACCCTGCGGGGGAGCTCAGCTGGTTTGAGTGTCAGCCCCCTACGCCAAGGTGCAGGTTCGATCTTCAGTCGGGACACAGACAAGCAGCAACCAATGAATGCGTAAATAAGCGGAACAACCAATCAACGTTTCTTTCTTCCTCTCTTTCTCCCCCTTCCCCTCTCTCTTTCAAAAAAAAAAATCAATAACAATAAATGCACATATCCTTCACATATCTTAAGCATAAGGCAATTTAAGATATGTAATGCATGCAGTTACTTCTCTGTTATGTTCTTGTGCTGCAGAGTACCTCTCCTGCAGACTGTGGTGCACAGCCTATAATTACCTTTTTAATTACACTCAGAACGTCTGTTGGGGGCTGTCTCCTGTACTAGAAAGTCAGCCCCAAGAGGGCAGGGCCTATCTTGTTCACTGCCACATCCACAGAGTCCAGCCCTGCCTCTGGCACACAGGTGCCCCTCGGCACTGGCATCTGAACCCAGCTCTGGTGGATCCCAAGGCTCCTCCTCGGCCTGCTTCCACAGTGGCTCCCTGAGTTAGCACTGGACAGAGCTTCCAGCCCCACAACCCCTGCTGGCCTTTGTGGCTTCAGTGGCTCAGGCAGAGCTTGCAGACCAGCCAGGCCTACCTACAGAAACTGATTGTGAAGCCGCCTCTTCCACAGGAAGGATGGGGGGAGCCTCCAGGCAGACCCTGACAGCAGGGATGTGGCTCCTCTGAACCCAGACGGTGAGGAGAAGCAACAGCTGACCCGACCCCCGGATTTTGAGGCAATCCACTGGAGACTGGATCTCTGGTATTAGGGGGACATGCAAGGAAAGGAGAGAGGTCTGCTTTGGGGGGAACAAACCTGTCACCATGCCCTTAGGGGCACCCATGCTAAACAGAGGGGCTCACAGAACAGAAGACTTGAACTTGTTTCTCTTTACTCGGCTGTACCCTTGAAGCATCACTTACTCCTTCTGGGCCAGTTTCCTCATCTGTACAATGGAAACTATACCTCACACACATGCTGAAATGATGGCACTGTGCAGCTGTGGAAGGGCATGTTTGCGACATAAGGGCTGAGAGCCTGGCTCAGACAGACCTGGGGGTGCGTCCTCAACTCTGTCCCTTCTTAGCTGTGTGCTCTGAGCAACTCGCCCTCCTTCTCCAAGCCTGTTTCCTTGTCTGAAAGATGGGACAACCTCACTCACTTCACAAAGTTACTGTGCACACAGGGTGAATGGGAGCTCTGGTTACTAAAATGATGTGCCCCAAGAAATGCAGAATTTAGAAACAGCCACCAACTTGGGACTTAGGTCCTGCCTTCTGATTGCAGATCCAGGGTCAATAGGTGCTTAGGCCCTTTGTCCAAACTTGCTCCGTTCTGCCCCTGCCCCTCTCAGGTCCAAGTGGGATGCCAGTCTCTGATCAGGAGATGATCTTGGCCGGGAGCCAGGCAGAAAGCTCATTCCGTGCCCCAAACCCAATCCCTCCCAGGAGAGAGGATTCGGGCTCAGACCACTGGCCACCAGGGACAAAGTGTTCCCTTCAGCTTGGCCAATAACCCAAACTAGACTGATATGATGGGATCTCCAAGGGCAATGGACCAATGCTCCCTTCTCCAGGTGTGGAAACGGAGTCCTTGCGAGGGAAGGGGCCTTGTCAAGAGCACCAAGGGAGCCAGTGGCAGAGCTGAGACCAGGGCCCCAGGTGCCTGGCTGACATACTCCTCTGCCTGCAGCCCCCTCCCAATGGAATCAGCCAACCATTTCCTTAAAAACACAGCCATTCCAGTGAAAACATCTGGTTTGGTTAAACAATGAACAAAAATACTGGAGGTTTTTAACCTGAAGGCTTTGGGGGAGGGGGGGATACACACCCTCCCCTGAAATAGTCATCATCATGTGTGGGTTGTAGGTTTTGCTGGAAAGAGGTTCTGGACAGAGCTTTCTTCGGGTCCCCACAGGGTCTCTACGAGGGCTGAGCTGAAAAGTTCTGGGCCTTTCTGAGGGTTCCATGTCTCCCGTGTGTCTCCTTATTCAGAGAGGCCAGGATGTGCAACCAGCCCTGGGGCTGCTTCTTGAGACAACATGGGCACCACACACACACACACACACACACACACACACACACACACCACACCACACCACACACCACACACCACACACACAGACCCCATGCTCCTAGAGGAGGGAGGGAGCAACAGGTCGAAACCTGGAGGCTGCCGTGCTGGCCGGCTGCCATCAAGCGGGGAGGGGCTTCTCCATGCTCAATGAGGACACAAGATGCTGACACCCCAAACACAGAGACAGAGGGATCAGGCCAGCCCCCACGGTCTACAGGCTAAGGACTCAAGATACACCAGTGATGCCGGCTCAGCAGCAATGGGGTCCCAGGCTGAGGGATGTGAGTGACATGAGGAGGGCATACACACAGTCACAGCCTCACTCACTCACACACAGACTCATGCATCATACATCACACACGTGGATACACACACGGATATACAGACATAGTCACAGCCTCACTCATCCACACAGAGGCTTGCATCACACAGATATACATCATACTAAAAATACAAACACACAAACACATATACATGTACACATAATACACAGATATTCTCATAGATACACACACAGCTACATATCCTCATCCACACAGGCATGTACACACACACACACACACACACACACACAGTCCAGGTATCGTAATGCTTCCCCAGACACCCCTCACTGTAGATTCTCCCCTCTCTGCAGGGGAACATGGGCTGCTAACTCCAAAGGCTAGACTGGGCTCCCTGCAGACCAGGGAGAGAGGGAGGGGGGCAGAGCGACTGAGAATTCGCAGGGGGGCATGGGGATGTGGGGGGAAACTATTTTCCCACAGGGTTATCTTCCCCCTTTCCTAAAGCGTGGTCCTCCTTCTGTAGCCCCATCCAGACCCCCCCCCCCCCCCGCCCTATCCCCGCAGGTGCTTGTCTCATTGTAGTGAGACCCACCCACTGGCTCTTCCATGAGGGGGGTCTACGCAGACAAATGCAGGAGTGCCCCACCGTGGGAGTGCCCTCCCGCGGCATCCACCCCTGCACGTAGCAGAAAAACATCCAGGGCACCCCCCATACCTGAAGCCCCACCCCCAAATTCAGCAGCCTCCAGTCCTCAGGGAGGTTAAGTACCTACCCAGGTGAGCCCACAACTAAGGCAGCCGCCCCCTTCTGCCAGTGGCAACCCCACTTTTGAGACTCTTACCTGGGAGGGGGGCTACGAATGTCCCCTCCCTCAAGGTGGCGCCCCCACCCTCCCCCACCTCACCACCTACCTCCTTCTTGACCGTGCGCAGCAGCCTTTGCCGGGTCTCCGCCCCTGTGGGACAAGACAGCCGGTCAGCAGAAAGCTGGGACCGGGGCCTGGGGCTGCCCTCCCGCCATCCTGTGCCCCACACCCCGCGCCCCCTCACCCGCAGGGCCCGAAGCCATGGCTGGGCGCACGACGTTCCGAGTCCCGAGCGCCTGCAGTGGTGGCGGTGGCGGAGGCGGCGGCTCCCGGGCGCTGGGCTCCCAAGCTGCGGCTGCGTTGGGGCGGGACCAGGCGCCCCAAGACGTCAGGACCCGTCAAGCGCGCGGCCCCGCCCCCCGGAAACACACTGCCTGGCCCCCTGGCTCCCAGCGCGCAGATCCTCCCTGCCAGATGCACATCCTCACTCCTGCCCCCCCCCCCCAACCCCCCCCCCCCCACCTTCCTGCCCAACGCCAGTGTCCCCCTTTGGTGGGGCAGGGAAGGACAGCACCTTTATTCAATGTCTGCTGTGTGCCAGGCTCTAGAAAGTGGCCGGAGATGGTGGGGCACTCTCTCTCTGCACCTCAGTCTTCTCATCTTTAAAATGGGTAGAATGTGATTACTTCATGAGAACGATATGGGACTTAAATGAGGAATGTAAAACACTTAATACAGACGCAGGAGGAACAGTCCAGCGCCTAGAAAATGTTCCTGCAGCTGCTATTTTTACCAGTATTATTAATGTTATTAATATGGTTACACTATTATTGCTGACAGTGTCACAGGATATACTGACTCCGTCCAGGAGAGGCCAGGCCTTAAGTGGCCCACTCCCCCCACCACATGCAGGTCACTGGGAGGGTGGGGTCCTCCCAGGAGCCTGTCCCCTGGGGGGCGCAGCTGTTAGCCAGGGTCTCCACTGTGCATGCTATGGGCTTGTTCCACCAGGTTTCTGACTACATCCACCCAGAGTACAACTCAGGTCAACAAATATTTCTTGTGCCAGGATACCGTGCTGGGGTGCTGAAGGGAACAAGACAGACAAAAAGACAGCTCCTCCCTGTGGAGCTTAGGAGGTAGACAACAAACTCAGTAAGTAAATGACATAGTATGTTGGAAGATTCTGGGAAAAAACATACAAGATGAGGGAGACAGGGCCGGCCCAGATGGGTGGGGTTTGTATTTTGAGGTGGGGTGGCTGAGAGAGGCCCCAGTGAGAAGGTGACATTTGAGCAAAGAGCAATAGGACTTATCCAACCCAACACTCCCAAGTTTTCTCCTCTGGTCCTCTTCTCTTCTCACACCCTCTCTCCTGGGTTACCCTCCACCAGACAAACCAGAATCAAACAAACCAGAACACACGATAGGCATGGCCACTACCCAGAAGGCAGCCAGGGCCGGTTTCTACAGCTAACCCTCAGCAGTAACCCGGACGCTTACAGGCATCTTCTTTGGAAACACTTATGAGCACAAGGGTTTTCCAGGAAAACCCTAGTGAAGCTCTGCAAGTTGGAGGAACTAAATTCATGTCTAAATTCAATACAACCCCAAATTAACGGACAACAGAATTTGTAATATCCTGGAACTCAATGCAATGATTCTAAAGTTCATTTGAAAAAAAAAAAAAAAAACAGCCAGGAATTTTCCAGTGCTTAGCAGGTTTAGTTATTTCTAGTCCTTAGAATTTTTTTCAAGATGTAGCAAATTGAACATTGCTGTTCCCGGAGCACCATGGACAGTGCAGAATGGCGTTTAGCATTAGAGCTGAAAGTGCATGCTGGTTTCTATGAGCTAATACTGCCATTTCAAAGCAGTGGGTAAGGTCAGGATTGCTCAAGAAAAAGTGTCAGATAACGATCTCTCTCTTAATTAAAGTGGGTATTCACTGTGTGCAGCAAAGATTTAAATGTCAAACAAGGCAATTATAAAAATATTAAAAGAAAGAACTTGTGATTTAAAAAAAATTTAAGTGCAAGGCCAAAGAAACCCAGTGAGCTTGGACACACATATACACTTTTATCTATCCCCTCCTATACCAAGCTTCCCTGCATCTCACCATATCTGTCTTCTTCTCTGTAAGCAGTCAACAAAAAACTGATCCGACAAATACCATTTAAAAAAAAAATGGCCCCAAATATTTGAAAGCTTACAAATCACTGTGAATCCACTTGCAGGAATCTGCCTAGAGGATTACAGATGAGCCTTGGCTTGAATTTAAGGACAGTTACAGCAGCTAAAATTTAGCTATACTGGCAATAGCAGGGATTTGGTTGAAGTATTAAGTGGTAAGGGCATACATTTCTGAATTTCCAAGTGCAGGTCAGTTAGTAAGGTCACCTGGCAGGTTCATCTGAGGATGGCTGATGGTCGAGACAAGGGGTGGGGGTGGCAAGAGATCTGGCAGACACCCTGGCTGCTGTGCCTCAGCTGGTTGTGGCATCCTCCTGTACACCAAGAGGTAGCAGGTTTGATTCTTGTCCAGGCACATGCCCAGGCTGTGGTTCGATCTCCAGTAGGGGCACATGTGGGAGGCAGCCGACTGATGTTTTGCTCTCACCTTGATGTTTCTCTCTTTTCTCTCTTCTCTCTCTCTCTCTCTCTCTCTCTCTCTCTCTCTCTCTCTCTCTCTCTCTCTCTCTCTTCTTCTTCTTCTTCTTCTTCTCTCAAAAAGGAGATCGGGCAGAGGGGCCCCACTCCCATCCCCAGACCCACCAAGTCTGAGACCCTGCCAGGTGCAGCTCAACATCGGCCTAATTTGATCCAGGATGGACATGGTGCCCGAAGAGGCTGGGCCTGCAGGGTTGGAATTGGAGTGGGCACAGCACCTACCCTTCGTTAGAGTACCTGAACAGCCTGAGCTGGACAGAAGTTTCAATATGGTTTAAATTTGTTATCCCTGCTGTGTGTGCATTTCTGGATTCTCTTATCCTGTATCCACTTGGTATTCGTGCAGCAGAACCCACAGCTGTGCTGAGAGGGTCTTGCTTTTATGACTTCCAGTGGGTCCCCTGCTCACCAGCACTCACATGGCACCATCCAGGTCCATTCATTTCCTCTGAACCTCATGCACCTCTCCTTCTTGTCTTCACTCAAGCCTCAACCTTCCACCCTCCTCCTCCATCCTAATTCTCAATGAGACAAATAGAACATCAGAACAAAATGCAACATCTTCCCCTCCCACATCTCCCTCCCTGAGACCCTAAGGTACTAGGTCTGCTTCTACCTAAAGAAAATATCTCCCCTTACACCCAGATATCTCCGGCCAGATCCCTTCCTGCTCGGCCTAATACCCCACGGACGTCTCACACTCCTGACTTGCCCTCCTACTCATGTCGCACTTCATTTGAAGAAGTCCGATCCTTCCAGTTTCCCAGGCAAAAGTCTTTCGATTCATCCCAGACCCCTCTTTTTACCTCAAACCCTTCACAGAAACAACCAGGAGATACTGTTGCCTCTGCCTTTCAAGACTAGCCAGTATCTGACAAGTTCTCATCACCTCTTTACTTCCTCTGGTCCAAGCCACCAGCTCCCCCTGCTGGACACCGCAAGTGGTCGCCTTACTGGTCTGGCTTTTGCCCGGGTCTTTCCCTCAATGGGTTCTCAACACAGAACCAGGTAAATTGGTTCATGTGGCTCCTGTTCCCACCACCCCATGAGGGTTTCCGTTTTCGCAGTCAGAGGAAATTCCCTCAGATGCCCTCCCCACCCACTACCTCTCTGATTTCTCCTGCTTCTCTCCCCATCGGTCTGCTTTGCTCCAGCCGCCCTGGCCACCTTATTCTTCCTTGGACATTTCTACCTGAAGAATTTGCTGTCTTTCCTCAACCTATAGCTCATGTAACCTTGTTAACTCACAGACTTCCTTCAAATCTTTGATTCTCACCAAGACTCCTTTTGATTCTCACCTGTCTGCCATTAATTAATGCAACCAGCCCCCATCACACCCCACCTTCCTAGTAACTCTCAATTTCTGTTATTTTGCTATTTTTTTCTGCATTTCCCTAGCAATGGCCACACCATGGCTATAGACATTATTTGTTGTTTTTATTTGATGTCACTGGAATGTGAGATTTTTAAGGGAAGTTCCTTTGCTTTAGGCCCCGACAGTGTCTGGCACGTGGCAGGTATACAACAACTTGTAGATGATGACTAAACAGAGAGATAAGCTACTCTTTATTTCTGCTTCCAAATGCAGACCCAGCCACCTGGTCAAATCCAGCCTAAACTCCAGCCGCTGCAAGAGCAAAGCCAAGTGGCTGAGTCTGAACAACCGAGAGGAGCAGAGGGAGCATCTCAGTCTCCCGGTAAAAGGAGGGAAGAAGGCGGATATGGTGAGGGGCAGGGGATGCTTGACACAAGAGGGGATAGATAAGAGTGTATACATGTGTCCAGGCTCACCAAATTGTGTACATTAATTATGTACACATTTTTGCACACCAGTTGTACCACAATAAAGCTGGGTGGGTGGGAAGGATACAAGGTAAAGAGTCTATTGGGTCTCATAGCATGGACTTTCCCCAAGAGCAAATTGTGGCATGGTGGGAATTGAAGTCCAGGTGGAAGGCGCTGAAAAAAATGTAGCAATATTTGCTACAAAAAAAGGAGAAAGGAGATGGTATAGTAGATGGAGGAGGATTTTAAAAAATTAGAGAATAATATGTATTTATCCTGGTGGAAATCACCCAATACAGAGGAAGAAATATAACACAGAATGTACAAGAAAGAAGAACAAAATCCCTGAAGTTGAGGTCAGAACCCATAGCTCAAGTAGAGGGACTGGCTTTTCTTCCGAGCAGGACACACCCTCCATGGTAATCAGACAAGCACAATGTACGTCTACGGCAGTGGTTCTCAACCTTCCTAATGCTGCGACCCTTTAATAGTTCCTCATGTTGTGGTGACCCCAACCATAAAATTATTTTCGTTGCTACTTCATAACTGTAATGTTGCTACTGTTATGAATCGTAATGTAGATATCTGATATGCAGGATGTATTTAGGCGACCCCTGTGAAAGGGTCGTTCGATACCCAAAGGGGTCGCAACCCACAGGTTGAGAACTGCTGCCTTAGAGGGACCCCTCCATACCCACTACCTAAGACTGTGACTCACAAATGTGACCCACAGCCTGTAGACCCCACCCCAGGACGCTCCCTGAGGAACACCAGACCCTCCTAACCTCTGTCACCAAATGTTCATTCCACCTGCCCCATGGCACTGTCCCTTCTCACCGTGATCCTGTCCACATCAACCCATGCAAACCCCTCCAGGAAACCCCAGTGTCCTTTC